TGCCCCTTAACCCCCCTCAAAAAAAAAACCACACCCAAGATTAGCGCCATCTTTAAGGGATCCTTGGCACAAATAAACCTAGGAGACCTCTCCCTTCCTGGCGATGCTGTGGTTATAATGTGGATTCAGTTTCTTGGCATCAGGACACCTTCAGCAGGCTTATCAACAGCATGGGCTGTGGTACCAGCCACCAGTGGTGATTCCATGTTCTGCAGCAGCCAACTGACAGTTGCCCATGTTTGATGTCTCCCACAATGCTTTGGTGTAGCAGCATTCCAAAGCCCTGGAGAAACATGCCAAGGCGTCAACACTCAAATAGGTCAAGGACTGGTTGCTGTCATGTCCTTGCAAGACATGTCTGACCTATAGAGCCCCTAATCATGTTTTCGAGATGGCCACCCATGGGTTTCCATTAATTCTGACCTATAGAGCCCCTAATCATGTTTTTGAGATATGGGAGATATTCAAGGAGTGGTTTCCCATGGCCACCTGTGGGTTTCCATTAACGAATGAGGATTTGAACCCAGGTCTCCTGAGTCCCAGTCCAACATTCTCTTCATGGCACCACGCTGGCTCTCACCTGCTTTTAGTATTCATATAGGAAGGCAACAGGGAATATTAGGGACTTCTAAGAAGGTCTAGGAAAACTTTCTTTCTGAATCTCTGAAGTGTCTGCCAGTCAGTGTTGTCAATACTGGGCTAGATGGTATAAAACAGTTTCTGAGGCGTTGGTATTCTCAAGCTTAAACCCATCAGTGGTTTGCGGTCAATTGCTTGTAGACACTCATTCGGGAAGAAAGGGTGGGTTGGTGGGTCCAATCCAGGAAACAGACATCAGGAATGCCAGGCATTAAGGCCCTACAGGGTGTGTCCCCCTCCACTTCCCTGATGCCGATCATTGGTGCCCACTATGCCAGGGACACTAGATGCCAACCGATGCTCTGGAGGAGAAATTATTCATGGGTATATGGTTTGATAATCTGAAAGCAGGAACAGCATGGGGAACGACTCCTTTCATTTTTAATGCCTCTCCCGAGAATCCAACGCAGACGTTCCATAACGCAGGACACGTGCCTGCACGTGCGCACCACCGGCTCGCCTCCTTTTTCCTTGGCAGGGACGACGGAGCGGTACGCTGCCTTCTCGCCGCCCCCATGCTGCTCCCAAGGCATCCTGGAGTGTGCCGGCATCTCGTTCCCTTCTAGAGATATTCTTGCCCAGCGACGCCGCCGTTGCTTCCTCGCTCTTATTAGGATGCGCAGTGAATGGCACAGCCACTCTCCAGCTATCAAACACAATATGTCCCTTTAGATTTTTATAGCTGGCTGTGCCCCAGGTGCTATTATTATCGGTCGTCACATCACTCACTCGATATGATGGGCCCTGTCTTTCTAGTTATCTGTAATGGGCAGGAGATTTTGGAATCATTTTTATCTCCCAGCGGCAGGCACATTTTCTCCCTAAGAAGTGACTTCTGACTCCCTCCTGCTCCTTTTGTCTTTGATTCTGCAGTGCTCGTTCTCTCCTCCTTCACGTTGCGCCTTCTGCTTTTTTGTCTTCTTATCTCAGCCTGCATCTGAATTTGTCTTTGTTTCTTTCTCTCCTTATCTTTTTGCACTGTGGTGAGAGTTTGTTGCCAACGCCACTCCTCCCCGCCTTCTTTTCCAACCGCCATCCTCTACCCGTGGGCACAGTTCCCAATCCAATCTTGCATGCTGGTGGTTCCATGGTCCCCAGATGGTCTTGGACTACAACTCCCAGACATCTTGGCCAGCACAGCTAGTGGTGAAGGCTTCTGGGAATTTTAGTCCAAGACCATCTGGGAAGCTGTGGTTGGGAACCCCTGTTCTATGTTGATTGGGGTTTCTTTCGGTAAAGGGACATGTCTTGTATGGCAGTGGTCCCCAACCTTAGGCCTCCAGATGTTCTTGGACTGCAACTCCCAGAAGCCTTCACCACCACCTCTGCTGGCCAAGATTTCTGGGAGTTGAAGTCCAAGAACATCTGGAGGCCCAAGGTTGGGGACCACTGTTGTATAGGACCACCATCCATGCACAAAAGTGAAACATTATCAGGATAGACCTTATCAGGAACCACCTTTTCCAAAAACCTTCAACTAAGGTTGTGGAGAAATCTTGCCAGTATATCATTTATGGTTGAGGCTGGTTATCTGGACATGCTGAGAGAACCTGTCATGGATTCTCCATCTTGCAGTGAGTGTTCTTGATTCCATCCTGTGCATGAAACACCAGCCATTTTTTCCCTCGCAGTGGTTTGTGAAGTTTTGTCCAAGATGCCTCTAGCATCTTTCTCCTTCATGAACAAAACGAGTACCAAAACAGCTTGAAAGATCAGGCCGGTTGCCCAAAGGGGTGTAAACAAAACACCAAATGCTTCTAATTTTTAAAATGACACAGAAGAACAACACAGGCGTTGTCACGACTTTAGGTTTTTCATAATGGTGGAATGGGAGAAAAAGGAAATGCACATATTCTCTGGGAGACCAATGGCAAAACTCACCCTTTTTCCATGAGGAGAATGTGGTTTTGGTTTTTTTTTAAAAAAACTTCTCCAGTGAATCTGAAAGGATGAAGCAGGGTTCAGTTTACATCTCTCTCTGAAACTGGGGAGCACCTCCAAAAAAGCTCAGTAAGAAATAAATTGACTGGTTGCCATGGTGGTACAAAAAAGACTGATGTGTTTGCATGTGCATGACAGAAAATTGGAAGAACGATGAGGACTGGGATAGAATGGAATGTACTGGTGCATGGTTTGGCTGGGCGGTTCACTAGAACTCAGAATGCATGGGCTCCATCTGTAATGTTTTGATGCAGTTCTTGTTCTAAATGACCTCTCTCTGAAACTGGGGAGCACCTCCAAAAAAGCTCAGTAAGAAATAAATTGACTGGTTGCCATGGTGGTACAAAAAAGACTGATGTGTTTGCATGTGCATGACAGAAAATTGGAAGAACGATGAGGACTGGGATAGAATGGAATGTACTGGTGCATGGTTTGGCTGGGCGGTTCACTAGAACTCAGAATGGATGGGCTCCATCTGTAATGTTTTGACGCAGTTCTTGTTCTAAATGACAGTTTGTACTAGAAATGTCTCTCTCTCTCTCCCTCTCTCTCTTGTGTGTGTGTGTGTGTGTGTGTGTGTGTGTGTGTGTGTGTGTGTGTGTGTGTGTGACTACAACTCATACTTCCCTCAGCAGCATGGGAAAGGATTCATTTCCCCATGTTTTCACTTTGTACATTGTAGAACACACTAGAGGGGCATCATCTTAAACCTTAGGGTGTGTGGCACAATTGACCGACATGAAGGCGATTGCTGACTGGTTGAGCCAAACGGATGCAAAATGCATCCTTTTTTTATAAAACGAATGATACCTCACCAGAAAATCTCAGCTGAATGGCTCCAAGAAACAGGGAAAGTTCAGCTTTGAATGGAGAGAGGGAAATTAAAATTATGGGGTCAAGACGGAAAATCAAGAGAAAGGAGCAGAGCTGTACAGAGAGCTTGTGATGCGGCAGAAAGAAATAACTCGAGTACTTTTTCTTAAAAAGAGAGAGAGCAAGTTTTAAATTAAGGCATTGTAATAGCAACAAAGGAAACTGGGAAGTGTGTAATAAATTGCTTTATGTAGCAAGAGAGATAAAATCCTCAGTACTGTTGGCAATCTATGAAAGTCTCCAGCTTGTGCTTGGTACGAGGTACGTACTGTTAATATTTTATAAAAACAGACCATGATTTAGATTTTTTACATTTATTTTGCTGGCCAACAGTCAACTTCTACAGTCCCTTCTAGCGAACACATGGGTAGCCTGCACTGCTTTCGTACCAAAAATTCCACGTTCAGTTACCAGATGGTAAAAGGACTTTGCAGAGTTGAACTGGGCGTTTTCTCCTTTTGATGCTCCCTACAGGTGTTGCCTCTGAGGGCTGGGACAAAATGTGGCTCAACACTTGCTTTCTTGCAAGCGGCATGCTATGTGCCTGCCCTTGCCTGCCACCTCCTTAGCCTTTGCCCCTTTGTTTCTGGCTTTTCGGTAGGCTGAGGTTGGGTCTATCACACCGTACAAGCAAGGTAGATGGGAGGCTACAAACATAGTAACTTGGGAGCAGCCTTAGCCACAAGAAACACGAAGCTTGGGAAAAAATCCTTGTCTGCCCCACTTCTGTGACATCACAAGGGTGAGTTCCTGTGACCTCAGAAGCCTCCGTTCCCTGGTTTCTGAATCTCCAGGCACCCCTATTGTTGAGTGACATGGATTTGCAAGAGAAGCTGGTGAAGTAACCAAACGTCCCATTGTAGTCAGGACGATGGCTTTGCAATGCTTCCCATTGACTGCCCTGTGAGGGAATTGCAGCCTAAACAGCTGGTGAAGTAACCAAACGTCCCATTGTTTTTCCATTGTAGTCAAGACGATGGCTTTGCTCTGCTTCCCATTGACTGTCCTGTGAGGGAATTGCAGCCTAAATGAAAAGAAGATATGTATTGTTATTTTATTCCCCACCAGTGTCTCAACTGAGTTTTGCTGCTGACTTTTCGAGGTCTGGACCGTGTCAGGGAACGGCCGCCGTTAGTCGGCCCACTGTACAGCAGTTATACAGCTAACAATCTGTTATTTAAAGTAGCACCCGCGTTCCCTGTCTCTTTTGCATAGATGTAAGCAAAGCATTTGAAAATAAAGGGTTTTTCCTTTTGTATTGCTCTGCTGGTAAAATTAGACTGCCCCTAACATTGTTAAGTCCAACCGCACAGGCCTCGGCAAGCGAAGAAAGCAATCATGAATACAGCGCAGAAATGAATCCTCTAAAATAAATAACTCTGAAGATTCAATTTCGTTCAGCCCCATCTAATGTGAAAGTGAACAGGAATTAAAAAAAAAATAGTGTGATAAGTCAAACCTGCCCTGTTCCTTCTTTGAGGGTTGTTCCCTTACAAAGTCGAATTGTTTCTTATTTTAGATTCTTTTTCTTCCTTGTGTGGTTCTAGCCAACGATGCTCCTTAAGTGGGGACGACTTGAACAGACAATGGCTGAATCCGGACGCAATGCGCCAACCCACCGTTTACCGCGCCAAGGGTCTTCTTTATTACCTGGACAGTCAAGGCCGAGCTCCAGTGGTATGTTTCTGCCATTTGTTATTCAGCCGTCAACCTGTTAACCTTCTGTGTCTTTTTCTGTGGCCATAACACGACGTTCATGAGGACGAGGAAGGGAACTACGATGTCAAATCATGAGTTGTGTTATTTCTTCCTCTCTCTCTGTGTGTGTGTTCTTTGCCGTCAAGTTGGAATCAACTTACAGCAACCCTTAATAGGGTTGTAGGTGGTGTTGTGGGTTAAAGTTCAAAGGGATTCCAATTTAGGTGGCTCATTTTACGGCCCTTTGTTCCCTGTATAGCTGTGTACTATCTTTGATTCTCTAGACTGTCTTTTGGCTGTCTCTAGTGGCTCAGTATTGGCCATTGGGCTGTCGATCAAGAGGTTGGCAGTTCAAATCCGCATGACGGGGTGAGCTCCCGTCGCTTGTCCCAGCTCCTGCCAATCTAACACTTTGAAAGGATGCAAATGCAAATAAATCAATAGGTACCACCTTGGTGGGAAGGCAACAGCGTTCTGTGTCTAGTCATGCTGGCCACATGACCCTGGAAAGTGTCTATGGAAAAACACTGGCTCCTCAGCTTACAAACCGGGATGAGCACTGGGTCCCTATAATCGGATACAACTGGACTTAACTGTCAAGGGGAGCCTTTACCTAATATGGAATTAGAGTCAGTGAGATATTAAGGAGTGGTTTTACCAGTTAAACTCTCCCAGTGAATTTCTGTGACCAAGTGGGGATTCGAACCCTGTTCTCCAAAGTCCTAGTCTGTCACTCTGTCCACTATACCACATTGGGAATTGGGAATTATATGTCATCAAGCCAGCCTCTTCAGGGTTTGCTACGTAGAGAGAGAAGTAGTTAATCATTCCCTTCTTCTGGTGGCATCCTGGGACTGTGCAGTTTGCCCAGGTCCAGAATTTCTGTGACCAAGTGGGGATTCGAACCCTGTTCTCCAAAGTCCTAGTCTGTCACTCTGTCCACTATACCACATTGGGAATTGGGAATTATATGTCATCAAGCCAGCCTCTTCAGGGTTTGCTACGTAGAGAGAGAAGTAGTTAATCATTCCCTTCTTCTGATGGCATGCTGGGACTGTGCAGTTTGCCGAGGTCCACACAGGCTGCCTCTGCTTGCAGGAGGCACAGGTAGGAATTGAACTCCCAACCTCTAATTAACTGAGCTATTCCAGCTAGCTCTTTCTACACTACCATTAATTATGGGCCAACATTCCTATAATTTTTTTTTAGGTGAAAGTAGCAAGTTACAACTAATGTAGTTAACTGTAAGTAGTTTCTCTTTTGGTAATTATTAGTTAAAATATTGCAAGTAAAAGTGGTATAAGTAGTTACAGTTACTTTATAGGTGTAACAAATAAAGTTCCTAATTACTTTCAAATGCTGCTGACTATGGGCGTTTAAAAGAATTTTGGTAAGGATTTTTTTTCAAGGTTTATGACATTCTCTCTTTAGTCTTAAATGTCAAGAGAAACATCCTTTTATTTTGTATGTTTCTAAACATTTACAAGGCCCAAGATCAGGACTGACCACTACAGGGAGCTGGAGAATTTGTCCCACTGTTTTTCTGGCCCGCTGGGAATGATAACGAAAAGAATGTATAACGAGCAATGCAAGAAATTGTTTGTCTCACTGGAACAACCCTAATGATAATGGCAACATGATTGCCCAGAGTTAGTGAGCAATCATATGAGTTCCTCTTAAAAATGCCCCAAGCTCTAGTTTTCAACAAATGCAACCTTCAGTTCAGTTTTTGGAATCTTTGGGATATAACCCAAATAAGAATAAAACAAAGTTAGTTGTGATTCATGATGGACAAGTCATTTTCTGACTAGGTTCAGCCAGCTCAGACATCATCCAACTGTTATGAAGGTCAGCCCAAAGCATCTTTGAATTGGCAAGGTTCAGAACAGATTTCAGTGGTCTGATGATATGATACAGTGTCCTTGTTTTTCATCACCACAAGGACTGTGCCCATGATGAAAGAGTTCTGTTTGTCATAGCATATGATGATCCTGACCTACCACATTTTCATTTAGCGTCCTGTGTTTTGTGATTGGCCACTGGAAGGCAAACGTGGGCATAATTTGCAAGTGTGTTCGCTCAGACTTTTCTCTCTAAGGAAATTACATGTGCGACAGGCACGAGATCACTTGTGGGGGAGTACACATTTCTCTGTCTTGGACCGTCATTTGCTATTTTTCCTCCCTTCTGTGTCTCCCACCCTTCCCCAAGTACGCCTCTAGTACAATTTACACACAAGTTACTCACTGCTGTGAGAACTGGTTAAGCCTTTCTATGAACCTTGATTAAGACAGCTTTGAAAGGTAGCAAATCCATTGGCAAATATAAGGACCTATAGACCTATTTAATCACGTGTCTTCACTTCTAAAGGAGATAGGGCTGTGTCTCTTCACCTGGAGCACAACGCAAGCAATTGTAAACTTTGCTTTTGCTTTGGCTATTGATTCCTTTGTCTCTGTTTCTTGGCCTTCAGAACATGACAGGCTGCATATTCCTGGCCTTTGAATGCTTCATTGATTTTAGTTAATACACACTCAACCCTCTTATCCATCCTCTTCCCTACCTTTCTACTTTCTTTGGAAGCAAGCACACTTTTTTTCTGAAGACCCGGTAGAGCTGAGTTCAACCCAAACCAAATTATTTCAGTGAAGTACTTTTAGTCTGTTTGTCCCACAGACTTGTGAAGAACTTTTGCTTCTTCTTCAAAGAAGGAACGGCCACTTAAAGGGTGAAAAAAGGGGAAAGGAGTAGAAGACTGAAAGCTTCCCCAAAAGCTTGTGTTCTGTGGTCATTTATCTCAAGGAAGGAAAGAAGACTTCAAGGACTTTCTATAAAGTCTATAGTGACAGGTTCTGAGGGCATTGTCTTTCAGAAAAGAATAACATTTGCAGACCAGTATACGTACATGATTTATTCCCGGTTCCTATGAAGCATTGGTCTAAGATTTTGTTACCTGAGACAAGAGACCAGATGGGCTCCTCTGTTTCATTTGCAAAAAATGTTCAAATCTGTCTGCTGAGTCTTGCTGGGATAGTGGCGAAGGATGAACATCCCCTAATGCAGTGGTCCCCAACCTTGGGTAACCCAGATGTTCTTGGACTATGAACTCCCAGAAACCTTCACCACCACCTCTGCTGGCCAGGATTTCTGGGAGTTGACATCCAAGAACATCTGGAGGCCCAAGGTTGGGAACCACTGCCCTAATGGACCTGCAGAAATGTGGTGTCTTAGGGAGTACCTGAAGCACATAGAGTTCTTCTCCCAAATACTGTCCTCAAATGCTGGAGCTAGAGATGAAAAGAATAGGGTCTAAAGTTCCCATATTTTGCTTTGTATGATCTCAAAAAATCAACAAGCAATACTTAAGCCCTGTGATATGCCTTGCTTCCTGTTGAGAGTGGGTCAAATGGCATTTTTGCCCTATCAGGCTCTCTGTAGGCTTTTTCTTGGGGGCATATCTGCTGATTTCAGGTGAATTTGTAGGTACCAACCGCACGAGAGGTATTTGCATGTTTCTGGGTCAACCAGGGGGCATAGCAAAGAGCTGCTACTCAACTGCAGGAGGGATCAACAGCCACATAGATCCATTGCATTAAACCTGTCATTCACAGGCTAGAAATAAAGGTAGAGGTAAAGGTTCCCCTTGACAATTTTTGTCCAGTCGTGTTCAACTCTAGGGGGCGCTGCTCATCCCCGTTTCCAAGCCATAGAGCCAGCGTTTGTCTGAAGACAATTTTCCGTTGTCACATGGCCAGTGCGGCTTAGACACGGAACGCTGTTACCTTCCCACCGAGGGGGTCCCTATTGATCTACTTGCATTTGCATGCTTTCGAACCGCTAGGTTGGCGGGAGCTGGAACAAGCGACGGGCGCTCACTCCGGCGCGTGGATTCGATCTTATGATTGCTGGTCTTCTGACCCAGCACAGGCCTCTGCCCGCAGTGCCACCATGTCCCTTAGAAATAAAGACAGAAGGAAAAAAAACTCAGGAAGATGACAAAGACTATGCTCTTTAGCTTAGAAATATGGCCCTATTCAAGCATTACTTATTCCGTTCTCTCCAGCATGCAAGCATGTCATTGCTCTCTCTACATGGAAAATAATATTCCTGCAGAGGAGAGGTTTCTACTTGCATGAAGGCTCTCCACATGAGCAAATACCCTGGAAAACTCAGTTTCTCGGTTGTACAGAGAACCTACTTATGGGTAGGAGCCTTTCTCTCTCTGAAGGTTTTTCTTCGTGTGCAGAAAGGAATGATAAAGAGAGAAAATGCTGTGCACACTCCCTGCTCGTCGGCTGGGGAGAACTGGTGAGTAAAGTCCGAATAGGACTTATGTGAGTAAAGTCCGAATAGGGCTGACTTACTCTACATTTTCCAAAACATCTCCAAGCACAAATTTGTTCCTATTTTCACATCAGTTTGGGAATTCTGCTGAATCTCCCCTGGAAAATGTTTTTTTGGGGGGTGGGGATCATCTAGCAAGGACTAGTGGCAGGGATGGGGATTTAAGCAGTGGGACTCACTGTCAAGTTGGACTTAAGTAGCACTTGACTCAGACCCAACTTGACTGTTTTCTCAATGGCTCAGACTCATAACTCAGAACCCACCACCCCTCTCTTTTTTTCCAGAGGGGAAAAAAGCATGTTTTTAATAGAGATTTGAACTTGGGATTCAAAACTCAAGATTTGGTACCAAAGACTTGGAACTTGCGTTTCAGACTTGCCAACATCCCTGTTTAGTGGGACAGCATCTCTCGGCAAGCTAATAACTGCCCTGTCATTTAGGATTCATTCACACTAATTTGCAGGAAATATATATATTGGGGAAGCTGAGACGGTCCTGCAGTCGGACCTGCTGAGCTTCCCTGGGCACTTGCTTAATGTGAAAGTTATATTTCAGGTGGATAATGTATAATCCTTTCAGTTGTTAAGAGTGTGCTAAATTGGCACGTAATTGATACCCAGTGGAGCTGGGCATTCCAGCTTAAAATGGGACCGAGGCGATGAAATCTCTTTCAATTTTGAGAGAGGAAAGGGGGAAAAAAAGAAATATTCCACATGTGGTTAGAAAGTGAAGTGTGACTGGAAGTTAAAGAACTGTTTTCATGCTTGGCTGAAATATCAGAGTTAGGAAAGGCTGACCTCCCCTTGCTGCCCCTTTCTTGAATGCCAGACTCAACGGTCCTGGCAGGATGGATGGTGGGTAATTGAACACCTTGCAGAAGCTTGACTTAGCAAAGCACAAAGTGGTGCCACTGCCAGGGAATATATGGGCTACTCGAGGGGAAGGAGAGGGTCTGATTTTTAAGAGCTGGCCATTCTGCCTAAGTGGCTGGCTGGAAAATGAAAGATACCTGCTGGGTCAGATCTGGGTCTAATTGCGGACAAGTTCTTGCCTCCTTGGAAGCCCCTTTATCATCGTCATCATCACCGGCGGCAGCAGCAGCATTAACATCATCATAGAACTGCAGAGCTGGAAGGGACTCAGTGGGACTACCTGTCAATAGATAGCGCTCATTTCAAAAAGGAAAGGAAAGGTAGAGAACTCAAAGTTATAACATTATTGTTTAAGAAAAGCACAGACAACTTAAGATAGTCCAGGGAAAAATCTCTCCTTCTCTCCTTCTTTGAACCTTCAAGGCCTGGATCCATCCTTCCTGTAGATGGTCTACTGATTAATCCGATCATTTCATTAAGGAATGTTTCATCTTTTGGGGAACATTGGTGTCTGGTCCCATAAAAATATATGCCGTATGTTCCTAATTTAGAGGAATCCTGAACCCTAGTGAAAATGTGAAGCAGTTAGGGAACACCAAGAGGTATTGACTTCCCATCTCACCAAACAAGACAACGGATTGTTCTCCAAAGGCCCAAGTCAATATTTGCCTCTTGTGCTATAAAGTCTGATGTTTCCATCTGATTGGGATCATCGATTGCTTATAAACACAATTGGTATCTGGTCTTGATGAAGGAGAGCATCTGCAGACAGCCATAGAAGCTCAGCAGCCAGATTGGCCTTGTCTGTTAGATGAGGAGAAAACAGAATTATTTTCCATAAAGGCTGATCCTGTTCTGTTCTTTCTTTCTCTGAGATGTACACAATGAACAGGGACAGTTCCCATAATGGCATGCTTATGCATTCCCTCAAATTGCACAGTAGAAGCTTCGAGTTTGAAGAAAACCGAGTTGTGCACAATTGCTGTATAAAGTGCAGGTTTTGGTCCTTGTGAAGAAGGCAGGTGAAAGTTTGAAAGTGGAAAGAAGCAAGGAAACTCCCTTGAGATCTCAGCATTGGTTAGGTGGAACTTCTCTTCTGAGGTTGCAACTGCGCTCCAGAATTAAATGGATCACCCCCCTGTTTCCTGGAGATTTGGGGAACTTTGATTGTGAGAAGGGGTGTTGTTGTTGTTGTTGTTGTTGTTGTTTGTGCCTCTGCTGTTGTTCTGTGCCATCAAGTTGGAACTGACATACCAGTGACCCTAATAGGGCTTTCAAGGTAAGAGAGATATTTAAGGAGTGGTTTTACCAATTCCACTCCCCCAGTGACTTTCCCCGCCTTAGCAGGGATTGGAGTCCTAGTCTATCACTCTACCCCACTACGCTACACTGGGTGCCCCCAGAAGGGGTCTGAACCCACAGGATTTTCCAAAGCTTCATGAAACTATAGTTTCTGCAGTTCTTTGGGGGAAGCCAAGGCAGTTAAAATGATAAAAAAAACAAAAAACAGATTTGTATCTGTCTAAATAAGCCCTGAAAATGGCTATGAACCACTGACTCCACAATTATTTGAAGTCCCACCTGATAGTCCTTCTGAGAGTAGGTGAACTTCTGCAACTTCTACAACGCCTGTGTGCAGGTTCCCCTTGTAATAATACAGCCTTGCCCCATCAGTCAACTCCAGATTGAGCGCTCAACTGCATGCAATTGGATAAGTTTGAAATTGCTTAATATCAATTGCTCAGTATCAATTGTGTCCCAGGCAGTATATACAAAAATGCATATATTTGGAAAACAGTTGTAAAAAGGCTTGATTAAAGGGGAAAACGTTGCTTGAAAAAGATGTGTCTATTTTGCAGTGTGTGTCTAGTTTGAAAGAGCCACAGGAATATACACAGAAATGGAAATAATAATTTACAGTGTGTTACAGAAGAAATTTAATAGTGCAGCTATGAATATCTGGACAAAATCAAGCTAAATCAATTAACCTCTTTTGCTCCCGACAATGGGTTTTCTTTAGAGGTACATCCTTCAGTGATCAGATTTGCAAATTATGCCCAAATTTACCTTCCAATGACCAATCACAAGTCACACTGAATGCAAGATATGAAACTGAGGAAAAATCTGCCTTATGACAAGTCGACATCTTTTCCCACATAGGAGAGCACCACTTCTAAATTCAGAGTGTATAATAATTTTACTCCTTCCCCACCTGCTTGTTTTAGAGTCACAATAGCCTGCTTTTTAAGGGGTAACAATTAAAACTTTTCTGTGGAAGCAGATGATATGAGTCCTATTCAGGTTAAATGATCCATTCTATGTATCTGTTTTTGTATCTGGGCATTTGTAACTATAAAACCTTGTCATGACTGGCTGGCAAGATCTGAGCAACTCTAATGTGTGTGTGTGTGTGTGTGTGTGTGTGTGCGTGTGTGCGCGAGTGTTAAACTCTAATGTGTGTGTGTGTGTGTGTGTGTGTGTGTGTGTACATACAACAGCCACATCACCACTTTCTAGAACTCAGCCACCCTAGAAGGAATGATTGTTGTCAATCTCTATATTCTTAACTAGCCTCAACAACCTCAATAAAAACTTATCTCTTAGGTTCCATACATGGTTACCTGGAGGAACTGCTGGATAGCTCAGTGGATTAGATATGTGGCTGCAGAGCCAGAGGTTGGCAGTTCGATTCCCCCACGCTGTCTCCCTGACCGGAGATGGACTTGATGATCCATCAAGTTCTCTTCCAGCTCTACAGTTCTAAGATTATTGTGATTATTATTCTACACGGGTGAGCAGGAAAGTGACTGTTTCTGGATTTTTTGAATAGCTGTTCCCCTGGGCAGAATGCGGCAGTTCCTTAGCAACTGCTCAACCTTCTCCTGTGAAACAATGCCTCCTTTTGTCGCCTCTCCAGGTGTTTTGTGACTACCACGGCCATTCCCAGCGGAAGAACGTGTTCCTGTACGGATGTAGCATAAAGGAGACCTTATGGCAGGCAGGACACACCGTTGACACCACCGTTGTCACAGAGGATGTTGGTTACAGGGTAAGCCGTGTGTCTTCTATCACCTACTTCTGCCCCCAAAAACTCTCAAAGGAATTGTCTTGCTTGTCCTTGCTCGAGATGCAGAATAAATCCCTTCAATTACAAATTCAGGTGGCGGGCACTGCTAACAAAAAAGGAAAAAAAAATTGGAATCAAAACATGTCATTAAGAAACAGAAGAGATGTATCAACATGTTAGAGGAACTCTAAAGACTGCATTCATAATAGGAGCAGAATATTAGGTGTCATCGGGAAATGGAAAACAAAAAGCCAGTAGAAAAGTGAAACGAGTGGGAGAGAGGAAATGGCATGCTTGAGCCCTTCATGATTTAGAATGTCCTTTAAAAGGTCTTGGCTAGCAGGAAGTACAAACAGGAACATTCCCATTAGGAGGTAAGGATTAGGGCTGTAAGGAAATCTCACGTTGGCTGAGATTCTAATTGAGGTTAAACATGCATGTTCTTATTGGGCATCCCCTTACAAGTGAGGAGGAGGAACTGAAATAGTTTTGTCCTTCCATGGATTTTTTCTCATGGTTTCCACAGAGTTCTTGTTGAGAGAGATGTTTTGCCCCCAAAACTGCCCCTTTCCAGCACAAATATTACATTTGTTTCCCAAATTACCTCATTTTTGGCGATTGTGCAAATTGTCCAAATGTAGGGTGCCTGCCGCTTTCTTTACACATTGGAAGCACTGGGTTGTTTGTTTGTATATTCCCGAACACTCAACCCATCCTCCCAGGCTTAGTGGGTGCTTTCAGTTTGCCTTTTGAACGACTCTGGAGACATGAGCTGCAAATTAGAAATTTGGAAAGGGGAAAAAATTTAAGTCTCGCTTTCTGTAGGAGCTAAAGAGTCTGAGACTCAACTATTCTTCATTGAGTTTTCTTGTTGCATCAAGGCAGACTAAATTGAGAAGAACAAGAAATTGAATGTTTATATTCGTCTCTGGACAGGATAGATATCACCAGTTGAATGAGGCAGTCCCTTGATTTTTTTTCTATCTCCCTCAAAACCTCTTGCTTCTTGCATGAGAATGAGGGTCAAATCACATGCCATTGTTAGCACAGAATGAAAACAAGACATATTAGCCTTTTCATCATGCAGTTCACTCCCAGTATCAGGTCTGGTCCACCAGAATGCAAATTAGCCTGGTGTTGAACTTCTGGTTATCAAGCAGAAAGTAACACCAGTGAACCGGCAAGGCAGGGGAGATCTGAAATCCTCACGGGATCATGAATCTTTTGGAAATACACCAGTAGCTGTCTATATTTTGCACTTTGCAAAATATATGAGGGGTGGTGAGTGTACCTCCTATCATTAAAGTGTCTCCTTCAGTGATTTTAATACAAGAGCCTGTGAAGACTGAAATACTGCCCAAAAGAGGATCATATGAGTCCTCCCTTATATGAGAAGGAAATTGACTGCAATCTGTCCTAAACTTGGGGATGTTTGGTTTCTCATACCTCAACTTTGAAAGCTAAAAGGGATGAAAAGTTGAACAGCTTTAGAATCATAAAATCATAGAATGTTTGAGTTGGAAGGCCTTCGAGTCCAACCCGCTGCTCAAGGCAGGAATCCAAATCAAAGCAAATCTGACAAAGAGTTGTCTAATTTTATATTGAATGCCACCAGTGCTAGAGCAGTCACCACCTCCTGAGATCCTGGGTTCCCTTGTCGTACTGCTCTAACAGTTAAGAAGTTTTTCCTGATCTTCAGCCTAAATCTGACGTCTTGTAGCTTGAGCTCATTTGTTGCTTGTCCTGCACTCTAGGATGATGGAGAACAGATCCCGCCCCTCCTCCATAGGACAACCTTTCAAATATTTAGTGGTTTCCTTGTCTAATATCTGAGACAAAGGGAACGGGTTTTCTTTCCCCTAACCAAGAGTTCAGCACATGGGTACAAACGGATCTCTCTGTTGTTGTTGGGTTTTTGGAAATGTACAATTAAAAGGAAATTAATGAGAAAATAAACAGAGAGGAAACAACCATTAGCTTGAGACCCGAGAAACACAGTTAGAACAAACAGAATATTAAATTCCTATTTGCTAATGTTTATAAATGAGCATTACACACACTTGTGTTCCACTTACCTGCCAGCATTTGTATTTAATTAAAATAAAAAAGGTTGATTATAAAGACAGTTTCTATTGTCTTAAGGAGATAAATGCAACTGGGGAATCTGCCTATAGTTTTCTCCCCCCGCTCCAAAGCCTTTGGAAAGAGTTGGACATGGACAGCATGAGGACGTTGAGACCTTCACAGTAAATTTGGACTGGATCTTATTTTCGTTTGTACATGTGTGAATGTGTACAGGATACACATACACAGAGAGCATGTCAACCGAGGGAATCATACCACATGCCAAAAGCGTGGAGACAGTTCTCAGCCAACCCCAACCCTCATCTAATGGAAATCTACATCTGTTGATGCTCAATCTCTTCCATCCAGCTTTTTTTTCTTTTTTGAATGGCATCATGAGAACTTGGGGTCAACCAGCAACTTATGCTTGGGACCATGAAGCAGAGCATAGTCGCATAGAATGATGGATGATAGGAAGGGGAGGTTCGTGAAACTTACCTGGGGGAAGAGATATAAGGCTGGTCTCTTATGCTTTTCTGTTTGAGTGACAATCTCTACATCTTTGTGATGTACATCTGCTAAAATCCATGTGTGTGAGAAGGAGGCGGACAGGAAGGATACTCTACCTATCCTCTTAATTTTGAAAAAAAAAAATCCCTTGTTTCTCACTGTCAGTTTTAAATGGTGAGTGTTGCTTCCCCATCCATATACGTTTCTCTTAACCAGTGAGTGGGGATGAGATTCCTTACCAGTCTTTGTCCTTCCATGTGAGAGCGACTCCTTGCAAACAGAGGGAGAGTTATATTGTTGCGTGGTCAACAAGAGAGGAAAAAAAAGATGAGAAGAAGACTTCTTTAAGGAAATGAAGCAAAACTGTGCAAAATTAATACAGTTTGCACAGAATAATGGTTGCTACTGCATTATGGCAGCTTTTAAGGATAAGGAAGTGTGTCTTTTTAAACCCCAAGCCACTACACTGTATCCGTACCTCTCTCTCTCTCTGTGTGTGTGTGTGTTTTTTTTTTGTTATCAAAGGAGAAAAGCAGAGATTTTATGCAGGGGATTTGTGCAATTTATGGAGAAATTTACAAGGGGCAGGAAGCATTTCTTGTCTTGCAATCTTTTGGAAGAGATGGTTCTTGTGACTGTTGAAAATCTCATCAAGGAGTCTTGTCAAACCAAGACTGCCAAAGGCTACAGGAAATAAGCATCTAAACCATGTTCTTTACACCCTTAGCAGTGGCTAGAGTTTCCTCGCATCAGCCAGTAACATTACGAGTAGGGAGAAAATGTCATGGATATCAGAATCCGTTGGCCAATGAGGGGGGGAAAAATGTGAAAGCTACAGAATTCGTACAATACTTCTGTTCACTTTCATAACCGTAGGTGGCGTCATTTGCTCAGGTAAAAAAAAAAAAGCCCAACTACCCAGAAGGTGCATAGTTCAGTCCTCATTTAATGGACATCATACCCATTTTCTCCAGTGGAATATTTTGTGTATAAAGTCTTGCAGTTTTTCTTGCTCTGTTTTTCTTTTTTAAAATCTGAGAGGAAAACACAGAGATTAGAAGGACACAATGGATTTTCACCTGCGATTGGTATGAAAAGCAGAATAGCTAGTATTTTGGACAGTCTCTCTTGCTCTTTATTAGCTGGCACAATTTACAGGGGGGCAAAAGTGGCTTTTTTCACTGTCTCTTAAATGCTTGCATTTTTTTTCTTGAAGCATGAGTTTCTTTTGTCCTCTTTTCATGCCCATTTGTATGTGGGGGTGGGGGTGTCCCTACACTGTTCTGTATATACTGTCATTTGCATTGTCTTATGCATGTGCTGTTTTTTAACAATTTTCCCCGTTTGTGGTACTGTATGTGCTCCTTGCTCATTTGAGTGTGTCAGTTCCCCAGTGCGTTTGATTTTTGTACAGATTTTTTTAAAATGGAGCAGAGCACCACCCAATTCGCAGACGAGTGCAAGAATTATTGTGTTCTGGTTAATGCAAGTCCCTTGGAAAGGACAAATTATTAACTTAAATTAAAATAGATACCAAGATAACACCACCCCCATACACAAAATTAAGGATATAAGAGCATAAGGAAATCCCTGTGGCTCAGATCAAAGCTTTACCTCGCGCTGTGTGTCTCATAGCGAGCCGCCCAATGCTCTTGGCGTACCCACAAGCCGAGGGCAAAGTCAACTATCCTCCTGTATGGTTAGGAGACATGATGGTCCTATCTCAGAGGCGCCCTCCAGGAAAGCAGAGCCTCACTAAAACCCTGTGAAGTAAAATACACAGCTGTCCATCTTGGGGGGGATAGCTTTATGAGCACCCCTGGAAATGAACAAAAATCTATGTTCAAGCTGTCAAGCTCTCCACATCTTTCAGGTACATAAAGCAGGCAGAGGACAATGAGGGTGATCTGATGGTAGAATTGCTGCCACCACCCATTCTGTGCTGCCTGAGGTCTCCCTTGCCAGGGGCCTCTTTCTCTCTGACACCACCCGGCCATCTTCCTGGCCTGGCTGCTTCTCGGGGACGAGGAGGGCCTTTTCTCCCCTGATGCCAACCCCCCCCCCCAATGTCTTTGCAGACTATCTACTTCTCAGCCAGGTACATCAAGAACATCTTGGCCCCAAAGATCTTCAAACGTAGCCATCAGACCAGGAGAAGCTAGACTAAACCTTTGGAGGCCCGAAATAGCACACCTTACTGAATGGATCGGTGCTGACAAGGGGTCTCCCACCAGGACAAGATCCTAGCTGGACCACCTGGAAGGCACTTAACAGACTTCAAAGCAAAACAGGAATATCAAAGAATCATCAAGTGAAATGTAGCTGCTTGGATAGAGGACAAATTTTCTGTGACTGTAGAGAAATTCAATCAAGGCAGCACTTGTTTGCATGCAACTTGTGCCCCACCATATGTACAAAAAAAGATCTAGGAAAGGGCCAAGAGAATGTGATTGAAGTAGACAGCTTCTGGTCACAATCAGTCTAATTATCTTAGCATTTTAATTTGCTTTAAATTTTATTTTATTTTAATCTATATTAACATTTTAATTTGTTTTAAATTGTATCTATGTTAACATTTTAATTTAATTTAATTATTTTATTTTATTTTACCTATACTAACACCTTAATTTGTTTTATTTTTATCAATATGTTATCCATTATCCATAATTTTAAATTGTGCAATGCTCTGTTATGAATAAAGAAATATGGGGAGGGATGGCCACGGGCATTTGTTCGTGTGGTGTGGCCAAGACAAGCCTAGCCACGCTCCTCCCCACCCACCTCCATACACATTTCTGGAGAATTCTGCAGGTGGTGGCCGGAAGCAGTGGCATCTTTCATCTCTCCTTGCCTTTGATAATGAGAAAGCTTGCATGAGCGCTGGATGATGCCCTTGTTTCTTGAAGGCATCTTGTCTTCCACACACCCAGAATAGGCAGGTGCCCTGTGATCCTTTCTGTGCTGAGAATTAGCTCCCCTTCCTGAATTTACCAGATCCAGATGGCTAGAAATTCAGTTTCAATTCCTTCTTGGAGAATGAAATATTTTGGTTAGAACTCAGTGAAAGTTTTAAAAAGTCAAACGTTGAAGAAAGCTAGACAGATTCTCTAACAGCATTGTAGTGGATGGGTTCGTTATGGAGATGGCGTTGGGACCTGGAATCATCATCATCATCATTAGAAATGCAGAGCTGGAAGAAACCCTATGGATGATCGAATCCAGCCTCTCTCTCAAGGAGCCATAGTGGGGATTTGAACACCCAACCTCTGGCCTTGCACCCAGAGACCAGCAGACTTGCCACCATTAATGCTGTGTTGGTGATGATGTGAGACAGAGCCTTTTTGATGGCTGCCCCTCAGGAGCTTCCTTGACAAAGATAGGCATTCTCCCACCCCCACTTCCCTGTCTTTTCATGGGCATGAAAAAAACTTTTCATTTAGATTGGCTTTCAGCAATTGACCGACTGCTGATGGAAGGGTTTTTCCTAGATTGGGGCTGTCAAGTTTTTACCAATGTGTATAAAAATTGCTTCTTAATTCAACAGGGTTTTAATGTTATAATTGGAGAGAGGGGGTATCAAAGCTAAATAAAGAATAATTCCAAACTGCTTAATTTTTTTAAAAAACCTCCTACATGATTGGATGGATGGATAAGACAGATGGATGGATGGATGAATGAATGCAGAAATGCAATGTATACTCTTTTTCTTTTGGCTAAGGGTGAATTTATTTTGTTCGTTGCAGACTCTGCCAAAAATCTTAGACAAAGTGGCTCCGGCATTTCTCATTAGCGGCTGCAGCTTTTTGGTGGAGAAGTCGCGTGAATCTACAGCACGAGTCGTGGTTTGGCGAGAAATCGGTGTTCTGCGGAGCTACACGATGGAAAGTACCTACTGTGGTTGCAGCCACGGCCTCTACAAGGTACAGTGATGAATGAATGAATGAATGAATGAATGAATGAATGAATGAATGAATGAATGAATGAATGAAAGCAAACTCCTCTGTTTGAAGTATCTAAAATAAATATTTCAAAGTGGTGGTAGAAGTTGTCGTTATCTGCCATCAAGTCATCTCTGACTTATGGAAACCCTATGAATGAGCAAACTCCAGAATGTCCCGTTCTCAATAGCCCTGCTCAGCAATTGTAGACTCAGGCTTATGGTCTCTTTTAGGGAGTTAGTCCATCTCATGTTCTTCCTCTTTTCCTGTTGCTTTCTACCTTTCCCAGAGAATCCTGCCTTCTCGTGATGCGCCCAAAATAGCTTCACCATTTTTGCCTCCAGAGATAGTTCAGGATTGTTTTGTTAGAGGACCCACTTGTTCTTCTTTCTGGCAGCCTAGAACAGGGCTGTAGATCAGTCAAAAGGATGTGTCAGTTTCTTTAAAGGCAAACAAGCCCATCGTACTGTGAATGGAGAGGAATAGAGCAAATGTATTGCCCATGATCACTGCAGATGGTGACGGCAGCCACGAAATTAAAAGACGCCTGCTTCTTGGGAGGAAAGTGATGATAAACCTCGACAGCATCTTAAAAAGCAGAGACATCACCTTGCCAACAAAAGTTTGAATAGTCAAAGCTATGGTTTTCCCTGTAGTGATGTATGGAAGTGAGAGCTGGATCATAAAGAAAGCTGACCGCCGAATAAGTGATGCGTTTGAATTGTGGTGCTGGAGGAGACTCTCGAGAGGCCCCTGGACTGCAAGGAGTTCAAACCTATCCATTTTGAAAGAAATCAACCCTGAGCGCTCACTGGAAGGACAGATCCTGAAGTGGAGGCTCCAGTACTTCGGCCATTTTATGAGAAGAGAAGGCTCTCTGGAAAAGACCCTGATGTTGGGAAAGTGTGAGGGCAAGAGCACAAGGGGACGACAGAGGACGAGATGGTTGGACACTGTCATCAAAGCGACCAACATGAATTTGACCCAACTCCGGGAGGCAGTGGAAGACAGGAGGGCCTGGCGTGCTCTGGTCCATGGGGTCATAAAGAGTCGGACATGACTTAACGACTAAACAACAAACAACAAAATTGTCCAATGCACTAGGCAGCTTGCCTAACACTCCCTTTTCTTTTTGCCTTCCTGTGGCAGTTTTATTTCTTCTTCTCCCTCTGCAAACAGCTTCCCTCCCATTCCCCTTAGAGAATCCATGCAAAAGGATGCAAAATGTTCAGAGAACTCTGTCTCCCAGCTGAGCGGAGCTCTGGATATTCCTGTATATTTCATCAGCAGTTTATAGTGGGAAGACTGAAAACGTGCTCCAATATTGAGATTCTTAAAGCAGAGACTCTCCCAACTTTACTCCTGATAAAACAGAACCGTAATTGAATGAATGGTCAAGTTGCTGCCCTTTTGAAAGGATTGTGATTCATTGTGCTTTAAAAGGTACGAGCCAAGTTCTGGGGAAGTCTAGCTGGTTCTTTTGAAGACCCGGGCGCAAAACCTTGTGCAAAGCAGACAAGAGCCAGTTCCAAAAAAGAGGGCATGTTTTGTTGGTTCTATTGACAAGAAGAGCTTGTAATTTAATTAAGAACTCAATCTCCAACCTTCGGAAGGGCAAACCTCAGTCCTTGCAAATGTATTTTATTCATTGGTCTCATTAAATTGCACAGGTTTCAATAAGAAGCTTTCGAACACTGGTAGACATTGATCAATACTTTCCTTAGCACGCAGTAGGGTATAGGCTAGGACGGCTGGCTCTTAATCCCAAGAAAATGGTTATTCTTCTATAATTTGTTCTGATTGTGTTCTGTCAAGTCACCTCCAATGTACGACGGCCCTAGGAAGGAGTAATCTCCAGAATGTATTATCATGAACAGCCCTGCTCAGTTCTTACAAACGCAAGTCAATTCACCTCGCAGTTGGTCTTCCAACAGATTTCAACTGTTTAATCCATTGCATTGCTCAGGAAAGCCAAGGAATCTTCCTTTTTAAGCTGATGAGAATACTGTCCTCCGTTGCTGCCAACAGAGCCTCTTCTTTAGTTTTTCCTTTTCTTTTCCCTCTGCCAATCACAACACATAAATGCTAGATGTAACATCTGTGGAACATCTGGAAGGACCGCTCTCTTCTGCTTCATGCCCCTAGGGCATTTTCCGCCCTGTGGTCAATCTGAAAGTGAACAAATACCTGTAACGTGACTCAGTTTTACACCTTTGTCTAAGAACCAGGCAGGCTAATGATTAGGATCATCTCGGAGCTTGGAAATAATTCAGTGCTTGTAACTAGTTACAAAAAAAACACACCTTATTGTTTGTAATTAATTCCTTTGTGTAATAACTAAAGCATGATCAAGTGACATTAGGACAGACATTTAATGAATGAACCATTTCCTTCATGTTGAGATTTCTCTGTAATTGTAACTAGTTTAAGATACTTCAGTAGAGGCAGAGGAGGAATTTCAAGTGATGGCTCATGTTGCGCCTTCTGTAGCTGCTTTGTATCTCTGTTATATCTGCTGAGGCTATGACCAAGATGAAAGGAAAAATTTGATTTTATTCAGATTTTTTTTTAAAAAAAGTCAAGGAACAAAATATTTTCATTTCTTCTCATCTTTATTAAGAAGTAGAAACTAAATAACTCTTTTTTATAAAGAAAAAAATCAACTACCATACTTTCCATGTATAAGACTATACTTTTGTCTAAAATCTTTAGACTGAAAATTAAAGGTCATTTTATACACGGAAGTAAGCTGAGGAGAGAAAAAAAACAAGTGGAGGGGAAAGCAGGGATCAAAGCAATCTTGCAGTGCTTTGATCCCTTTCCCCCTACACTTGGTAAGCCCCAATTACATTTTTTAATTTTGGGTCAGAAAAATGGGGTGCGTCTTATACATGGGGGCATCTTATACACAGAAAAATGCAGTACATTGGTTTTGGGGGGGCACCTTGAAAGTGTAAGTATAATCAATTACTCTTCTAAAATACTCTGTCCAGTACTTCTGGCTGGTTCACTAGTTCTGCAGGATTTTACCAGCAACCATCAAAAGAAAATGGATGCTAGATTTGCCAGCCAAAGGCTAATAAAGGAGGGAGCGGATTATGTCAACAGCACAGCATGGGTATCATTATCAGGAGACACTGAAACAAGGGGAAAGTTGGTTGCCTAGCTCATCACCACTCTTAGGGCATGACCACATGGGCTGGAAGAACCCCAGTTGTCTCGCTTTTGCGGTTATTTAAGTCATTTATAAATTTGTTTATTGCAGAAGGATAGAGCGAGTCTGGATTTGCATCCCTAGGGAAGTGAACCTTCAAATATTCAATTCATTTTTTTCATTCCCATGACATTGCCTCCATAAGCCGCAGCAGCACACAAACGTGATGATGAATGCTGGGTGAATTGTCTCCGCCGTTTGGTACAATATTAGAAATGCATCTAACTCGGATCTTCTTTCTTCATCCACGTTGGATGGACCACAGTGGGCGAGATGGTAGCACTGTAGCCATTGTGTATCTGTTGGGGAACAGGCAGGAAAAAGGGTCATGCCTTTCCTTGTGGTCCATAAGGAAGCAGTTGAACTCTAAAGCAGCCATAAAAATTTTCGGCTCCAAACACATTGCAAATGATTTCGGTCTGTTGGAAGGCTTAGTCCCTGTTGAATCGCGAGGTCATTATTCTAAGGTCATCTTTTTCATTTCTTCCTCTTCCTCTCCCCTCCTCCGCTTAGCATTATCATTTATCCAAAAGATGGAGGACACTTAAAACATGCCCAGGGGTGTATTTTCCCCTCTTCCATTGTAAGAATATAAATATGTTTGCAGTTTCTCAGGTTTAGATGGCTTTCAAGTTGTTCCAATCTTTTCTCCCCCGTATTGCTAAGCCCCTGATTTGTTAGTCCCAAAATGAAATATCATTTCTTAACACTGACATTTATGTTGGAGCTACATAAGAGGACATAAAGCTATTACCTTCTAGTAATTGATGTTTTAAGGCACATAACGTACTGGTGAAATACCCACCAAATGCTGGGAATCTGTATCAAAATGTAACCTGCGAATATGGGATGTAATGAAGTACTTGAGGCGAACTAGTTCTAAAATCACTTTTTAGCTTCTTTTTGCTTTCTTTCCTTTCTGGGGATCCCTGCCTCTCTCCATCATCAATCCTGAGGGGATCTTGACCCTTCTCTAGAGTCTGTAGCTCCTGAATAGAGATGGGCAGGAACCGGTTTGTCTCAGTTTGACCTGCTTCATAAATGCAACGGCACAGCTCCTGGTGCTCCCCTGACCTACCTCCTCAGCCATCTAGCCCCTCGCCAGGCCCAGCTTGCATGTTTTCCCCACCCTCTCGGCTAATCTCCCAGTCATGAGCAAGAGCACAGACTTCCCTGCCCCGTACTTCTGTCCGAGTGGGAGATCAACCAAGAGGACAGGACAGAGAAGCCTGAGCTGCTGCCGGAACTGGGAGATCAGTTGAGGAAGCTAGCACACTGGCCTTGGTGAGTAGCTTCTTGGGGCAGAGGAGACAGAGGAGGGAAGCACCAGCACCTCAGCAGCCACCTTTACGAACCAGGATGAACTAGGACGAACCAGTTCGTGCCCATCTCTAAGCCCTGAAGTATCCCTCAGTTTTTCCCCCCAAACAACAGCTATGGTTAGTTTTTGCCTCTCTGTGCCTGCGTTCCTTCTCCCCATTTTGCTTTCAGAACTATTGGTGATGATTGCTGTTGGTGGGCATAGTAAATAAATTGTGGTTTGATTGGTTCTCATATCATAGAAGAACCATCTGCAAATTGACGCAGGACACCACAATGTGGGTGTCCTCACAGGTGGTGTTGCATTTGTACCTGATTAGAAAGTACAATAACTGGCGCTTCGTTGCATTGAAGCTGTAGCCTTGAATGGGTTGTGTGTGCCTTTCTGATCAATCAGTTTATCCTGTCATGTCTATTCTTTTACCGTGTATGAATTAGTGCTCGCGGG